TCAGTTTTATTCTTCCTTGAAGTTTGGTGAAATTCACTAGTGAAGCTGTTCTGGTTTGGAGCTTTCGCTTTGGAAGAGGCTTTCGATTACTATTTCAATTTCCTTACTCATGATTGGTTTGTTCATTCTTTCTATTTCTTCCTGATTCAGTTTTCAAATGTATGTGTCTAAAAATTTGTCCATTTTTTTTTAGATTGTCCAATTTGTTGCCATGTAGTGTTCATAATAGTATCTTGTCTTTGTTTTTTTTGAAGATTTATTTATTTATGCATACAAGAGCTGGGGCACAGGCCAGAGATGCTGGGGGTGAGAGGATTCACCAGAGACAGAGTGGGGAGCAGAACAGACAGATCGACTGAAATCCACTGCTGAGGGGAGCAGCAGGGAGACAGGAGAGGTCTGCTGCGCCATGTGGGTAGCTCCCTGGCTGGCTGGGGATTGAACTCATGCCTCAGTGGCTGCGGATTACTTGATAGTGTGATGCTTAACCTCTTGCACCACAAGAGAGGCCCCATAATAGTATCTTGTGATCCTCTGCATTTCTGTAGTATCTGTTCTAACTTCTCTTTAATTTCTGATTTTGTGTTTTCTCTTTTTCTTTGAGTCTTGTGAAAGTTTTGTCTATTTTGTCATTCTTTTCAAAGAACCAGCTCTTCATTTCATTTGCTCTGTTGAATTGTCCTTTTGAGCTCTTTTATTTCTGCTCTAATTCTTATTTTTCCTTCTATTGACTTTTGATTTCATTTTTCTTCTTTTTCTAGTTGATTTAAATATAAAGCAAGAATTTTTATTTGTGATTCTTCTTGTTTCCTGAGATAGGACTCTACTGCTATAAATTTCCCTCTTGGTACCATTTTGCTGTATGTATCCCATAAGCTCTGTTAAGTATTTTCATTTTTATTTGTCTGTTCTTAAATATTTCACCTTTGATGATCTCAGGAACCCAATAGTTGTTCAGTAATGTTATTTATTTTCCACAGATCTGTGCATTCCTCATTTTTCTTCTTTGTTTGATTTCTAGTTTCATATCAGTGTGATACAGAAATATATAATATATATTGATATAATTTCAATTCTAATAAATTTCTTGTAACTTGCTTTATTTCCCAACATTTTGTGGATCCTTGAGAAGGTCCTGTGAGCACTTAAAAAGAATGTGTGTTCTGTTGTTCTGTGTTGGGATACTCTGTAACTGTGAAGTTCATCTCATTTAACTCATCATTTAAGGCCATTGTTTGCTTGTTGATTTTTCTATCTGAATGATCTGTCCATTGCTGTAAGTGGGTTGTTAAAATCACATCGTATTATTGTGTTGTCATCACTGTATTCCTAGAGGTCTGTTAATATTTGCTTTATGTATTGTAGTGCGCCTCTGTTGGGTACTTATAAATTAAAAAATGTTATATCTTCTTGTTAATACCTTTAACAGTATATAATCCCGTCTTTGTCTCTTGTTACCATTATTGGCTGAAAGTCTACTCTATCTGATACATAAGTACAGTGGTTCTTGCCTTTAAAATTTTCCTTTGGTCAAAGTATGATTTTCTATCCCTTCATTTTAAGCCTTTTTTTTTTTTTTTTCAACACAACCTAAGGAATATATTTGAACTGGTTGAAATTTTTTTTTTAAGATGTATTTATTTATGCATACAAGAGCTGGGGTACAGGCCAGAGACGAGGGGGGTGAGAGGATTCACCAGAGACAGAGTGGGGAGCAGAACAGGCAGACTGACTGAAACACACTGCTGAGAGGAGCAGCAGGCAAGACAGGAGAGGTCTGCTGCGCCATGTAGGTTTCTCTCTGGCTGGCCGGGGATCAAACTCATGCTGCAGAGGCTGCGGATTGCTTCATAGTGCCGTGTTTAACCCCTTGCGCCACCAGGGAGGCCCTGTCTTTTTCTTTTTTTTTTTAAGTTGTCATATCTTAATAACAAATTAATGAACTTTTGGAAACAGCAGTGAATTGAGAAGTTGGTATTTAGTTTTAATTTTTCATTGTTTTAATTCATTGGAGTATTTTGTAGTGTGAATCTATGTATTCATAGACATATATTTTTTCTACTTCCAAGTACTTTAGTATATGTCTCCGTAAATGCATATTATTGCATAATGAATATAATATCACACTTAAGATAAACAGTAACATCTTAATATTATCTAATATCCATGTTCAAATTATCCAGTTATCTCACAAATATCCTTTTTTTAATAAGCATACATTTTTATAGAAAGTAATTCTTATAAAGTCAATCAAAGTTACTGGAACCTACATTTACTTGGCAATCACTTTTCTCCTGAGATAGAGACTTACATATTATATTTGAAATATTAGAAACCTAAAATGAATTGGTCACATAATCCAGTATATATTTCACAAATGTCTTCAAAGCCAAACAACTAAATCCCAAATAATATTTTCAGCCAAAGGACTATAAACATTTTCATTGTTAATCTTCAACTTCATAAGTGGACAACTTACCCCCTATACTCTATGGGTTTTATCTCAAATTCATAAATTTTATGCAAGTATATGTGAATACTTGTGTTTATTAAGTCCATCATTAGCCAACTTTTTCCTTGTTTTTTAGCATATTCATTCTGATTATTAGGAAAGTGCCTCAAAATATTTTAAATATATCTTACCCTTCTCTAAATTCTTATCATGATCTAAATACAGATTTTAAAAATTGTCTTCAATAAATAATGCAAAAAGATAAAAGTATATTTTCCGGCGAAATGACCATCTCTTATATCCCCCGACCCTCTCCCCCACCCCCTCCTGCTCTCCTCAGACATCTCACTTAGGCTTAATGTTTGTCTGGGTCATCCTGGTTTGGTCCAGTGCATACCAGTCCCTGGAGTGCCTTCCATTTTGCTGGAAGTGGCAGCAGGACCATTTACACCTCCAGTCTGTCTCTGTGGCTCAATAGTATTTCACTGAAGACCACATCTCCTCTGTCCAACCCTCTTACCAGGGGCCACTCAAGGTGTTTCCCTGTCCTAACTATTATAAATAGTCCGGCAATAAACATTGTGGAGTATGTCAAGTATATCCATTGATGACTTCTTGTTCTTTAGAGAGATGCCCAAGAGTGGGGATGCTGGGTCATATGACGTTTCCATTTCTAATTTTTTTAAAGATGTATTTATTTATGCATACAAGAGCTGGGTATAGGCCAAAGGTGTGGGGGTGAGAGGACTTCCCAGAGACAGAGTAGGGAGCAGAACAGGTGGATGGACTGAAATCCACTGCTGAGGGGAGCAGCAGGGAGATGGGAGAGGTTGCTGTGCCCTGTGAGTCAGCTCCCTGGGATCCAACTTGTGCTGCAGTGGCTGTGGACAGCTTCCTAGCTGAGACTTAACCCCTTGCGCCACCAGGGAGACCCTCCATGTCTAGTTTTTGAGGGTAATTCAGATTGCTTTCTTTGATGACTACACCAGTTCACATTCCAACCAAGACTGTGCTTGGCTTGTGCTTTCTCTGCATCCTCTCCAGCATGTCGTAGCACGTGCCACTCCCAAGAGTATGCGATGATGTCTATTTGTCATCTATCTCCTTGGAAGTTGTGATTAACATTTTTCCGTGTCTAGTAGACAAGCCTGTTGGACTTGTGAATATCCTCATTGGTGAATTGTGTGTTCAACCCATTTATTAGCTGGATTGTCTTTTTATTGTTGAATTCTATGAGCTTGTTATGGATCCTGGATATTAACCCCTTGTCAGTTATATAGCGTGAGAACATTTTCTGCCACCCAGTTGGATGTCTTTTTTAATTTACTTATATTTTTTTTCCTGCACAATAGCTTTTTAACTTGAGGTAATCCCAACTGTTTATTTTTGCTTTTATTTTTCTTGCCATAGGGGTCAAATCGCCAAAAACACCTATGTCACTGACGTCATGGAACATCTCCCCAGTGTTTTCTTCTATGCATTTTATTGTTGTATGTCTTATATCTTGATCTTTAATCCATTTGGAAATTATTTTTATGCATGGAATTAGCGAGTGATGCGACGTCATTCTTTTATGTGTGGCCTTCCAGCTTTCCCAGCATGACTTATTAAAGAGTCTCTCCCTTCCCCATTGTATTGTCCTGGGTGCTTTCAAATATTGATATGTACGTGGGTTTATTTCTGGGCTTTCAACTCTGTCCCATTGATCCATGTGTCTATTTTTTCCTTGGATTTTAAGAACCCTCCCCCACCCCCATGGCTGGCTGTGCCTCTAATTCAGTATATTAGTGACTTCTGTTTAAGTCCTCGGTGTCCTGAGGCCAGGAGTGGGGGAGTAGGGTTGACTGCAGAGAAAGCGAGTGTTATTTGGAGTCAGGTGAAGTATTCTGTCATGTGTGTGATGCTGGCTAGACATATATGCATTTACCACAAGTCACTCCTTTGCATAACTAACATTAGTGTGCTGTTATTTGTATATTAGACCTCAGTTAAGCAGAATTAGAAAGTAAAAAATTGTTGGTGCTCGGTGTTGTGATTGGAAATCAAGGTTGGGCTTCCCGAGTCCTCTTTCCGGATTGGAAATACAGTAGTTTGGAATCTGAATTCTAGCTCTGCTGCTTACTAGACAGAAGATGCTGGATTGGTCCAATGGTCCACAATAGCTTTGAGACATAGTTTCCTTATTATAAAATGGGGCTGAAGTTGCCATGGTTGAGTGCGTAGCTGACGGGAAAGCTGCAGCACGCATCTGCTACCTGGGGCTACCCCAGAAGTGCTGCCCTCCCCAAGGATCTCTTACAGTCATTTCTGCTGCCCCCCATCATCCTTTACATCCTCTTGTCCCTTCCCCCTTAACCTCAGCTCTGCAGCATGTTTGTAAGTTTTGTTAGTTTTTATATTTTGCTTTGACAAAGTATCCGCTATGCTCATGTCCACTCTGTCCTTGTTGTTCTGACTGGCTTTATAATCCCCTGGAACTCCTTCCATCTTGTTCTAAATGACTCCGTGTCATCTTCCTTTGTGACAGAGCAGTGTCAGTGTGACTATACCAAATCTTCTTGATTCGGTCCCACTGATGGACATTCAGGCTGCTCCCGTGCCCTGGCTGTTCTGGATAGCGCTGCGGTGAGCTCTGTGCGGCATGTAGTTTTGTGCATTGGCGTTTTCATGTTGTTTGGACATGTGCCCAGGACTGGGGCTGCTGGGTCATAAGGTAGTTCATGTTTGTTTGTTTTTGTTCCCACTGCCATCCCTCTGTCCCTGTGTCCTTGTCCCTTGCACCTCCCACTTAACCTCAGATCCTTAGGGTGTGTATTGATGTCCACTAGTTTTTGAAAGTGCTTTGCCTTGTCAAATAGCCTGCTCTGTGAATGTCCAGTGTGTTTTATCATTCTGATTTGCACATAATTCTATCAAATTCCTTCATTTTGGCAAAAAGTACTGCATTTCATCCTTTTTCATGGCAGTATAATACTCCATGTTGTCTGTGTACAGCATCTCCATCCATCCATCTGAAGGAGATTTAGGCTGCTTCCACCTCCCAGCTATTCTAAATGCTGCTGTGGATAGTGTGGAGCATCCAGGGTCTGTTTTTTTTGTTGTTGTTGTTGATAGAATCCAATTCTGTGGATCTATGCTGAAGAGCGGGATTGCCATGTGGTACGTTATTTCCATTTTTAATCTTTCAAGATGAATCCAGGTTGCACCAGTTCACATTCTCACCAACAGGGAACTAGGGTTCCTTTTTCTCTGCATTAGTAATTATTGTGTAACTATTTTCACCCATTCAGTAGGGTGTCCAAATTAATTGTTTTGTATTTTCTTTTGCTTTTTTTTTTAAGATTGATTTATTTACACATACAAGGGCTGGGGTACAGGCCAGAGGTGCGGAGGATGAGAGGACTCACCAGAGACAGAGTGGGGAACAGAGCAAGCAGATTGACTGAAACACACTGCCGAGGGGAGCAGTGGGGAGGCAGAAGAGGTCTGCTGTGCCATGTGGGTCAGCTCCCTGGCTGGGGATCGAGCTCATGCTGCAGAGGCTGTGGGTAGCTCCATAGTGCTGAGACTTAACCCCTTGCACCACCAGGGAGGCCCCTAGAAGTTTTTTTTTTTTTAACTTGAGGTAACTGTTACTGTTTTTAATTCCCTTGTCATATTAGTTGAGTCACTAAAAATATCTTTTGTTGACACCATGGAATGGATCACCAATGTTTTCCTCTGTGTATTTTATTGTTGCAGGTCTTATATCTAAATATTTAATCCATTTGGAATGAATTTATTTTTGTATATGGAGTTATAGAGTGGTTGACCTTCATTCTTTTATGTATAGCCTTCCAGTTTTCCAACACAGTTTATTAACAAGACTCTCCTTTCCCCAGTATGTGGCTAGGACTGCTGTGTCAGGCTAGATGCTAATAGGGATGTGGCTTCTCTTCTGGATTTTTTATTCTATTCCACTGATCCATGTATCTATCTCTGTGCCAATAAAATAATTGCTAGTACTGTTGCTGTTGGTAAATTTGAAAGTCAGGTCACATGATGGCTCCTTTTTCTCTCTTTTGCTTTTCAAGACCTTTTGTGGTTCCATATAAATGTCAGATTTTGGGCCTCGGGTGGCACAAGGGGTTAAGACGCAACCTATGAAGCTGTCTGCAGTCACTGCAGCACGAGTTCGATTCCCAGCCAAGGAGCTGCCCACATGGCATGGCAGACCTTCCTGATTTGCCCGCTGCTCCCCTCAGCAGTGGATTTCAGTCAGTCTGCCTGTTCTGTTCCCCCCTCTGTCTCTGGTGAGTCTTCTCCCCTCCACACACACATACCTCTGGCCTGTACCCCAGTCCTTGTATGTATAAATAAATAAATTTAAAAATAAATAAACAAATGTCAGATTTTCTGTCCATTTCCTTGAAACATGCTGCTGGTATTTTGATGGGAGTTGTATCACATTTGCATAGTTCTTTAGGCAGGAGCCTCATCTTGATTGTATGGATTCCCCCATCCATGATCATAGACTGCCCTTCCATCTCTATATAAAAATGTCGTAATTTTTTGATTTTACAATCTGCCATGTGGCTGTATTTGTCGTATTTCCCCACACAAAGGGGAAAGCTTGTTGGTGGAGTCTTTAAGATTTTCTATATATTATATCTTATCTACAAATAGCAATAGTTTCATTTCTTCTTTTCCTATTTGGATTCCCTTTATTTTCTGTTTTTGCTTGATAGCTGTGCCCAAAACCTCTAACCCTGAGTGATATAGAGTGACAATGCCCTTGTCTTCTTCCTGATCTTAAGGGGAAATTTTTCTGTTTTCAACATCAAGTATTATGTTAACTGTTTGTTTAGAATGTGTGCCCTTCTTCTGTGAGATGGGTACTTCTGTTCCCATTGTGTTTTCATAAGAGGGTACGGAATCTAAATGAATTCTTTCTCTGCATCTATTATCATGTGAGTTTTATCTTTACTTTGGTTGGTATGATGTATCATCCTGACTTGTGTTTATTAAACCATTCCTGCATCCCTGGGATGAATCCCACTTGATCGTGATGTGTAATCCTTGTGATATATTGTTGAATTCCATTTGCTAGTATTTTTGTTGAAGATTTTTTTATCAGTGTTCAAAAGGGATATTGATCTGTGATTTTCTTGTGCTGGCTTGAGCTGTTCTAGGTATCAGGGCAACATGGGCATGGAAATGTATTAGGGGGTGTTCCCTCTCCTTGTTTCTTAACACATTTTGAAAAAGAACGTTAATTCTTGTTTCAGAATTTGAAAATTCATTTGTAAAGCTGTGTTTGGTCCTGGGTCTTTGTTTCCATGAAGAACTTTTATTGCTGTTCTAATTTCTGTGCTTGCGATCCGTTTACCCAGTTCTTAGTTCTGTCCTGGGTTAGTCTTCACAAACCGTGTTCATGTAGGAATTTCCGTTTCTTCATAATTACCAAGTTTATTGCTTTATCATTGTTCGAGGCAACCTGTCATGGTCTTTAGCATTTCTGTGCCAGCTGTGCTACTTTCCTCCCCACCATTTCTAATTCTGTTCACTAATGTCTTCTCTCTTCTCTTGTTAGCCTCGGTAGAGGCTTTTTCTACTTTATCTTCTTGAAGATCTCTTAGTTTAGATGGGGTTTCATTTAGTAGAGTCCTTTTGATTTCCGTTTATTTTTGCCTTTTTTTTTATTATTTCCTTCTTTGGAGGACATTTGGGGCTTGTCTCTCTTTTTCAAGTTGCATTAAGCATAATAACAGGTTATTTGGGGGGAATTTTCTCACTTCTTATCGTGGGTCTGTATTCCATAGATTCTGGTAGCTTGTGTCCTCATTTTCATTAGTTTTAAGGTTTTTTTTTTTTGTTTTGTTTTAAGTTCCACTTTTATTCCATAGCCACTAAGCAGCATATTATTCAATCTCCATGTATGTGTTCCTTTTCCTGTTTGGTGGAGGTGGTGGTGGTGATGATGATGGTGTTGATTTGATTCCTAGCTTGATGGTCAAAGAGAGGGTACTTGATATGATTTCAGTCTTTGTAGTTTAATCAGCAGTGACTTGTTTCTCAACATATGGCCCATTCTTGACAATGTTCCATGTGCATTTGAAAAACGACGTGTATATGGTGGTTTTGAGGTGCAGTGTTCTGTAATGTTAGAGTTCTTTGTTGTAGCTATTCATTTAGGCTATTGTATTCCTCTTTATTCTCTGTCTTGTTGATCTGTCCATAGTTGTAGGTGGAGTATTTAAATCCCCTAATATTGGGCCTCCCCGGTGGTGCAGCGGCTGAGTGCTCGCTTGTGAAGCTGCCCGCAGCCTCTGCAGCGCCGGTTCGATCCCCGGCCACCGGGTGAGGGTCCCACATGGTGCACAGACCTCTCCTGCCGCCCGCTGCTCCCCCCAGCAGTGTACTTTGTCAGTCTGCCTGTTCTGTTCCCCGCTCTGGCTCTGGTAAATTCTCTCACCCTCCTGCGCTTCTGACTGTACCCAGTGCTTGTATAAAAAAATAAATAAATCTTTTAAAATAAATAAATAAATCCCCTAATATTGTTGTGTTGTTGACAATACTTCTTTAGTTTTGTTATTGTCTTCTGTATCTGGTGCACCATCATTTTGATGCATATATATTTGTGAGGATAATTCTGCTTGTTGCATTAGGATCTTACTCAAAGTGTAATGACCATCTTTCTTACTAACTTTTTAAGTTGAGAGCCTATTTTATCTGATTGTGTATGTTCTTGTCTATTTTTTTTATTGCATTTTGCTTCTAGGACTGACTTCTAGCCTGTAACTCTTATCTAAGTTGGTAAGATGAGTTTCATGTAAACAACAGAAAGTTGGACTTCGTTTTCAAATCCATTTAGTCTCTATGCTGCCAGATTTGAACCTTTTACAGTTAAGATCATTATTGTAACATAGTATGCCTAGCCATTTTGCTTTTTGCTATTTTTTTTTTTTTTACTTTGTCTTGTCTTTTGATTTTTTGAGTTCTTCCTTTTATGTTTTGTTCAGGTTCCATTTCTGTTGTCTTTTTTTTTTTTTTTTTAAGGATTTATTTATTGTGTAGAAGAACTGAGGTTTAGGCCAGAGGCGTGGGGGTTTTTGGAGAATTCACCAGAGACAGAGTGGGGAGCAGGGCAGGTGGGTCTACTGAGACACACTGCTAACGGGAGCAGTGGGCGAGACAGGAGAGGTCTGCTGTGCCATATGTGGTTCAGCTCCCTGGCCGGGGATTGAACTCAGGCTGTAGAGGTGATGGAGCTGAGATTTAACCTCTAGGCCAGCAGGGAGGCCACCATTTCTGTTGTCTGTGTTACTTGTATTGACTTTTGTTTGATGATTTTACTGAGTCTGTATATGATGGATGATCTGTGTGACCCACTGGATCTCTAGTCTCATTCATTCTACTGGGTTACACGGTTACTCTCCTCCTCCCTGTGATATAATTTAGGTGTCTGTTACCGCTATATTTGTTGTTCTGTTGCTTTATAATAACCCTTTTAACACTTCTTTCATGTACAGCTTGGTGTTGACGAATTCTTTTAGTGTTTGCTTTTCAGTAAAGCTCCTTATGCTTCCTTATGCCTTGAATGTCAATCTTGGAGGATAATGATTCTAGGCTGGAAATCTTTTTCATTACATAATGCCCTTCTTGCTTGTAATTTTTCTACTGAAAAGTCCTCTAACAGTCTAATTGGTGTTCCCTTTATAAAGGTTACCCATT